TTGTGCTGCCAGAAACCCCTGAATTCGGCCCAGCGCCCGCGCGTCGCCTTACCCTTTTTGCCCCGGCCTCCCCGGTGCCCTCATGCCCGGAGCCGCATTTCCTCGCCTGGGGGCGCAGGAGCCGAGGGGAGCCGGCAGCAGCCTGCCGCAGGTGGGCTGCAGAAGGAGCCTCACGGCCGTCCTCCAGCCGCGCTTTGAAGTCTGTTCAAACCCTGTTTGGGACAACAAAAGTGCGATCGCATGCATCTCTCGGCATCTTTGAGAGCTCAGCGTGCAGGTTTAGTTGTTCGGCTGAGAAAGCTGCACTGCCGTAGCAGGGAGTAACTTTAAGGAGAGGTAAGCACTGCATTTAGGAAAGAGTTGTGGCACAGAAGAAATGTGTTGTATATTGATGGTGCGTGCACTGTTGCCTAACGTGCCTTTTGTGACTGTGATGCGGCAGCCAAAGCAACAGTCTGATTTTAGGTGGCAGTTACTCAGTTGTTTGCTCTGAGGCTTTGGTACAGCTAATCAGTACCTTGGATTGGAAGATCTGGGCAGCGACTTGCAGGAGAAGCTGCTTCTTCTGGCAGGGGTTATTACATGGGCTTTTGAGTCAAGCACAGCAAGTACTTGGCAATTACATCTTGAGGAGAAGCCCTGGGCTGCAGCGTAACTCCTAGTGTTCCATTGTAAGCATACAATAATCAGCTGAAATTTTTGGGTCTTGTATGGGTCAACCCTTTCATGCCTTTTCTGAAAAGACTCTGAGTCAAAACCTTTGTGATATTCTGAAGACATGCTTGTTTCATCAGAGTAGCTCAGCTTTCTAGGCTGCCTATCCTGAAGACTCGACTTTTGCCAGCCAGCTAGCTTACTACCCTGAAAACACCTAAACCCACCTAGATTTGTAGGAGAAGCAAGGAAGAGCACGGTAAGCATGCACTTGAGTAAAGTGGGTTGTGTGCCTAGTGTTGCCAGTCATTATTTGCTTAATGCAGGTGGAGATGGGGGATGCGGTTTGTGGTGGATTGAGGGCGTTTGTGCGTACTCCAGCTGCCTGAGCTGAGGTGCCTGATGACATTTATGGAAATAGCTGCTGAATGTTTCTCTTTTTCTTTTCTTCTTACTACCTTCTCTTTCACTGTGGTTGATTCAGTCAGTCATCAGGTCTTAGCAGACCCTGGTATGAAATTTGGCTAGTTTTTGCATTTTAAGGTCATGTTGTCTAGAAAGCATTGTTTCTTCTGGAAAGGTTTCCTTCTGTGTGTCATGCTATTATCAGTGCTATAAATGGGCAAATAAAGTAACGCACTCTAAAAAGACCCAAGAGACAAAGCAGTGTACGTACTATAGAGCACTGCAGTGGTTTTGGCATGACAATGCCCTGTGCTGAAAAGCTTATCTGAGAGGAATTCAGTGGGTAAGAGTCCGCTTGCTTGCTCCAGCCCCCGTACACTATACCAAGCCATGAGGGTTGCAGGCCTTCCTATGCCCTCTTAGTGCTTGTGGGTGAGATACGGGTCGTGACTGACCACCAGATGCAGTTGTGTTTCAGAGCTTCATTGTGTCCTCCAGGGACTGGAAGAGTTGATGTTATTGGAAATAGGTGTAAAGAATAGGAATTGTGGGTAGTAATGGCTGAAATGTGTGCATTGTTCGTATGTGTTGTGGTTTAACCGCAGCTGGCAACTAACCACCACAATATCTTGATTCTGCTCCTCAAGATTTCCACGAACAAAATGCTGCACCAGGGATGTGGCAAGTATCACACCCGCAGGCTCCTTCTATAAAGTGGGTCCTGTAACCTACAGGACCTCCCAAAAAGTGTGCTTGTAACAGCATCAGTTAGGAGCAGGCAGCTTTTCAGAGGTGGTCTAGCAAAGCCTTCAGCCTTGCTGAAAGAGATGGGCAAAACTCGGTACAGAGTTGGAAGCACTGTAGGCGTGGTGCGGCTAGTCATGAATCCTGGGTCAAAGCTGATTGCTAAGAGAGATTTACCCTGTCAGCTGCCTGTCAGGGTGAACTCGGGAGCTTTTCATTGCTTAGCTTGTAGCTGCTGGGTTGTCGGCTCAAGTGCTGTTGGAAGTGCATGCCGCCAACCTGCTGTTTCCCTGTGGTCTCCCAGTGGGGTTGTTTTGCAGCTGCTCAGGCATCAGCAGTTCTCTTCTGCGCTGTGGGTGATCAGCGTAGGATTGCAGCTAGCAGGAGAAGCAGACTCTGAGCAGGGTCACCAGTGCTAGGTGGCAGAACAGCTTTGGTGTTACTGGAGGCCTCTTGTGGGTACAGGAAACTGACGTTCATCAGAGATGAACACTCTGATGTTCTCTGCCAGCCTGTTCCCTGAAGGAGATCTTCTGTGGAGCTCAGCCGGCCTTGCTCTGAGCAGTGTCATCTCCTTTCCCGTTGGCAGACTGAGAGGCTTGGTTGAGGAGGGCAGCAACGAGTCTGCAGGTTTTCTGAAGGCTGTTCCATTTGCAAAGCTGATAGCGACTTCTTCAGGTTTGTCATGTTTCCTAGTGCTTAGTAGCAGCAGCTTTTAGATGATCATGGACTGCTTCATAACCAGTTCAGATTAGCATTCAGCTAATCTCAGTCATTTCTTTAGAGATTAAAGATCCTGCATACTTACATGGGAATTTCTCAAAAAGTGGTGGTAGTAGCTCTTGAGGGACTCTTCATTGATGCTTCAGCCTGTTCTCTGTCTGTAGCAAGACATTACAAGTTCTTTGAAGTTTTGTGTGTTTTTCTTGTCCTCAGCATTGTTGCCATGGAGGAGGCTCATCAGCTGCCCCATAACAAGAAATATCTGCATTACAAATTGCTATGTTCGTCACATGCCACTGCATTTGTCTGCCTCTCCCTTTCCATTCCCACCTAGCCAGTGAGCTGTTGTGCTCCTGTCTCTCAGCAAGGTACCAGAAAAATTGCAAGGTTGGTTGAGCTTTCCTAAATACAGAGAAGGACCTGCCCACACTGATGTGATTGAAAACTAGTGCTGGCATCCTCCTTCTTGAGGAACTGCAGGATTGTTATTGCATCACCTTCAAGTGAGGAAGGTCCCAGCTGTTTTCTAGCGTGTCTCCTGCTCTGTTGGGACAGGTGTCCTGCAGAGCAGTGGGCACTTTGCCTTCTGCACAGAGCAAATCTTGTGCTGCTTTGTGCCTGTGATTTAGGGGGAAACACATGCAAAGACTTTTCCTGTGTGATTTTGTCTTTGGGTATAAGTAGGCTGATTAATTGACATCAGACCTAAGATGTTCTGTGGTTTGAAGGAGCCCTTTTCTTTCTGGCAAGGCTTTAACTTGTAGAAAAAAGTTTCATTTTCTTATGCTCGTCATGTATTGTGGAAACACAGTATTCCCACCTTGGAGAGGACTTCCTCTGTAGTAGGCTTTTTATGACTATGATAGTTACACATGCCAGGAAGGTCAAACATTACTTTCCTGTAGTCAGGATTACAGTGTTCTGCTGTCTGGTTTGCTATGTGTTCTCAGAGGCACTTTGGTGCAAGTATGTTCTTGTGTTTGCTACAGTAGTAAACAAGCTAGAGGAAAAAGCGAAAATTCTCAAAGTGCAGGGAAACACTAATATTCTTGCAATAAACCCCATCTCCTACATCTTTGATACACTCTGGCATGTGAATGATCGTAGAAGAACTTAGAGGTTTACTTGCCATAGTCCTCAGATTTCCAAGCTTTGGTCTCTGTTGCTGTGGCATGTGTGTAGTCCTGCTAGAGGCCGTGACCAATGGCTGGGCACAGGAATCTGTGCAGATTCAGTTCTACAGAGAAGGAGATACCACCTTATTAAGCGGACACTGTGGAGGGTTTTTGTTAGCCAGCCTCAGGCATTTGGTGTGCAACTGCTGTTACTGGTAATGCAATGAGAAATCTGTTCTTAAGCTTGCTTTTTGCAAAGTGAAACTTGTGGCCATATCCATTTCTCTCAGCCTCAAACGGTTTCTTCAGTTGTCTGTCTGTGCTAATTTAATATATTTAATTTTTAGGACACCTCTGCATCTTGCTTGTGCAAATGGCCATGTGGATGTTGTTACATATCTAGTAGAAAACAACTGTAAGCTAAATCTTTTTGACAATGATAACAGATCGCCACTGATGAAGGTATGTGGAATATGTTATGTTCTTGCAAGTGGGGCTTGTCGATTGTGCACTAGATGTATGTTGCAGGATTCTTTACACAGACCTCTGTAAAAACATGTAGATTGTACTTAGCTTGGAATAGGCATATGTTAGCTAATCTTTGAAGGTGCTGTTATTTTTTAGCATTGGGAAGCTGGGGGAATTGTAAGAGAGTGAAATGTAAATGCTGGAAGTTTTTCCTTTTTTGTGTGTTGTTCCTAGGCAGTGCAGTGCCAGCAAGAAAAATGTGTGTCCATTCTGCTAGAGAATGGTGCTGACCCGAATCTGGCAGATGCTGACGGCAACACTGCCCTTCACCTTGCTGTCATATCTCCTAATACATCTGTAGCAGGGCTGTTACTTGAGCATAATGCCAATATTGATGCACAGAATAAGGTAAATTTTTTATATTTGTTAAGGAAGTTCTTTCAAAAAGTTGCATTAATATTTCTCTTGAAGGGTTTTTTGATTCTGATTTTTTAACTTGATTATTTATCTGTCCTTTCAGGAGGGATATACCCCGCTTATTCTTGCTGTCTCTGAACATCATGAAGACATGGTAGAGTTTCTCCTTAAAAAAGGAGCTGACGTGCATGCTAGAGATCAGTGTGAAAGGTGAGGGGTTTGTCAAAACTCTTCATGGGTGTCTCTAGTATTCTTTAGGTTGGATTGATGAGAGGCATGTGAATGAGGTCTGAAAAAAACCAGGGAGCCATGCAGAAGGAGCTATTTCTGTGTGACTTGTGAAAGCAAGTCTGCACTTGGCTGCTGTCATACCTCAGTGGATGCTTTTTGCATTGAGGATTGCAAGAAGGCATTGTCTGTGGTGGCCCTTCTGGCAGGAAACATGCCATTAGCTCGGCAGCATTGCCTCAGTTCAGACCCCCCCCTTCCTCCCCCCCATAGCAGCGTAGTTTGTATGTAAGTGTTTTCTATGTGGAAGCTTTGTCAGAAGACCGAACATTTAATTGTTTTGACTCCCTGTCTCATTTTATTGTTGCTCTTAATACTTAATGAAAACTGCTTTTTCTTTCATTCATTTTAAAGTAATGGTGACAATACTTTTTTTGAGAGTAAATAGGAATAAAGATAATTACAGTGTCTGTGTAAAAAGATATCTTTCGTATCATATTTTGGATGTTTCAGAACCCCACTTATGACTGCTGCTTCTGGTGGGGAGCTTAATTTGATAAAAGTTCTTCTTCGGTATGGTGCTGATGTTTCCCATAAAGACACTAATGGATGGACAGCTGAGGATTACGCTGTTATTCATGGATATTCTAGGTAAACTTTTAAGTGTATCATTAGAATACGTTGTCAGTTGTCAGTGTGGCTTTGGAACATTTTTGGTAACATCACCAAGGTTTAATGGTGTGTTGAGACCTGTCTTGAAGCTGTGCTTAGTGATGTCTTCTGATATGTATCATTCCTGTGTCTAGTGTTAATTTGGAAGTTGAGGAAAATTTCCACCCAGAATTCTCTGTTAGATTTCAAGTTTTGTTGCTGAGCTCATATCTGCCCAGTATAAACTCTAAAAGGTGTCTGTAGCCTACAGTTATCCACAGGTGGAACTTGGCAAACTGAAATGTATGTAAACCCTCTCTGCAGACCGGCACTGTTGTCCTTACTGACTTCCACTGCAATGACCAGGAGCTACCAGCCTTTTGTTTCAGAGGAGATCTTTAATTAAAATCTTAAGCTGTTTTACTCCTCTTATGCATAGCTTTGTACCCGTGGGTACAAAGTTCCTTCTCTAAGGTTATGTGTACTTAAAAGCTAGGATGAAAAAAATGTACCAAGCGGGAGTTAATAACTTTGTAGGTATAAATACGTGTCTATAGAATGAACATGACTGTAGTGAATACTGAAGTATGTAAGTCATGCAGTAAGTGCTGTGTGCATTACCCTTAGCGAATACATACAAGGATATGAATTCATATGACTCTGAGTATGTTCAGGATGGATAAGTGGCTGTTAACTATTCTATTAAATGCTGTATGCAAGCATGTGGTTATTTTTACCAAATTTATTTCCTCTCTTTCTCTATATAGTCTTAGTAAACAACTGGCAGAGTACGCAGACTGGGAAAACACAGGAGAAGCTTCTGCAGGTGGTGCACAAGGCATCGTGGTACTAAGCACTCCTCACCGGGCGGGAGCTGCTGGCTTTACATTGGGCGCACCTGCTGTGGACAGAGGAGGTAGGATCCTTAACCATGGAGGAGCTTGTGAGGAAAATCACTATGGCCTTTTCTTTAGGTAGTTTGCATTGTTAAAGCTTATTGTGTTCACCACTGACTTTAGCGGAGGCATCAGATGGAGTAGCCCAGGAAGTTTTGTGAATGTGCTTATTTGTTGCTAGTTGGAGGTGCTTCTTGTCAGTGTGAAGGCAGTTGCGATCTGCGTGCTACGTGTCCACTTACGGGATTGTTGCCTTCTGCCTGTCAAGAAGGCAAACCTCTATATAGGTTTTCCCATAGAGAGAGAGAAGGGCGACAGGGCAGGAACTAGATCAGAGTGGGTTTGTTTTTCAGGTGTGTACTTTTACCTATAGATGGCCATTCAGATTGTGAAAATCCAATTGCAAAAGCAGTAGGTTCATCCTGAGCAGCCGTTTGTGTAGTTGGGAAGCAACAGATGAGTTAGTGGGAAGATACGTGTCTTGTTGATTTCCGCTGAGTTTGTGTGTCTTTGGTTCAATATCAATGGTTTCACCTGCACTAAGCTCCTTTTAGTGAGTCATCTTATTTCTCAGCATCAGTTACAATTGTTTCAGTGTAGGTGCTGTAGAGACATATTTAGGAAAAATTGTATTGGAAAAGTAACTTTGTTAGCAACAACAATGTAGTGTCTGTGTATACTATATCTTCTTGGACATAGTTTGATTTACAACAAAAATAATGCTTTCCTTCCACTTTCAGTAATTTTATGAAATAAACTTTAAAAAAATCCGTATTATCTTGTGATCCAGAAAAACAATTAAATTGCTTTGTGATCAAAAAATTAACTACTTTAGTGGGTTTATAAAATCCAGTCCAAGCTTATGAGCTTATGCAGCCCTAGAGGAATCTTAGAAAATTAATATTTTAATACCAATGAAATTGTCTTGTACCTTACATCTTGGGCGCTACAGTGGTAGGTTTTATTCTTTCTGGTTTTTTAAGGGTGTTATATAGAACTGTGTGGCAAATGGGCAGCAAGCAGTGTTCAAACATAGTTCATGACTCCTTTTTTAAATACCTCAAGAAATATGAGCAAAATATGGACTGTTTTTTGTCACTGACTTTTCCCAGATATGGGAATTTAATTTAGAGCCAAACTTTGTTCCTTTGACTTGGGAACAGTTGCTTTGATCTAATCAGAGATTTGTAAAGTTTCTTGATACATTGAAGGAAGATTTTTTTTTTTTTTTTTTTTTTTTTATACAGGTAGTTTAATCAGCAAAATGTTGCTTTCACCCAAACAGCACATTCCGTCACTGTCTCCTGTGCATGTAGATAATTTCTGTGGTACCACATTGTTGACAGGCCTGGGTTGTTTTAAAATATATGGCTTGAAGAGTAATACTGTTGCGTAATTCCAAGCCTGACATACCCTCAGGGAAATACGGGTTCTTGAACCAAATAATTTGCCCCATTCCTTCGAAATGATAATCCTACTAATGTAAGCCCCCAATATTATGGGAAATCTTGGCTTTTTATCTTCATTTGAAGAGGCGTACTAAGTGTGAAGAGAAGGGCTTCATACAGGTAGTTTAATCAGCAAAATGTTGCTTTCACCCAAACAGCACATTCCGTCACTGTCTCCTGTGCATGTAGATAATTTCTGTGGTACCACATTGTTGACAGGCCTGGGTTGTTTTAAAATATATGGCTTGAAGAGTAATACTGTTGCGTAATTCCAAGCCTGACATACCCTCAGGGAAATACGGGTTCTTGAACCAAATAATTTGCCCCATTCCTTCGAAATGATAATCCTACTAATGTAAGCCCCCAATATTATGGGAAATCTTGGCTTTTTATCTTCATTTGAAGAGGCGTACTAAGTGTGAAGAGAATGTTACGTGGGTTAAGGACTTGGGAGGAGAAAGGGTATGCTCTGTTCTCAGTCTGTTTCCAGTAGGGTTTATTTTTCTTCTAAGTAGTATGAATCCTTTTCTCCTTGTGCTCAGTCTCTTAAAAGATGACCCCAGTGTGTTGAGCGAGAGAGATTAGTAGCATATAGGGAACGTTTATTGGCATTAACTCTACAGTCTCTGGCTTGCACCCACAAAGCACAGGTTCTTCATCATTAGAATCCCTTTAATATGCTGCATTAAGAGGCTTTGAAGCCTCTTTTAGAGGAGAAACTGGGATGATCGTGAGAGGCAGGAGAAGCACCCACTTTGGTATTATTTTCTTCTGTTCTTCTGTACTATTTTTCTGTCTGGGATCTTCAGTGTTGTCCTTATTCCTTTTGCTGCTTTTGCACTTGTTGAACGTACTTCAAAATATTCTCTTCTAATGACCAGTGTATTTAAGAAGGTGGCTCATGCTTATTTGAGTGTTTACTTTTTTGTCAGCACATGGACGTTCTTATTAATCACAGACAGGTTTGCAAAAACCTCCAAATGAATGGCTTCCAGCCCTAGCATATTGAATGACAGACTTTTTAGATTTGAGGTTGGAATTTCTTTGGCAAAAAGTAATAATTAAGCAATTTTTCTAAAGGCAAGGATTCAGATTTCTGAATGTATGTCTGCAGTGGCAGCTTTTTTTTTAGCTACTGCACTGCGTATTAGTGTATTGTTCCTTTAGTGTTTCCCTGCGTCCCTACAGAAACTGTTGTTTTTTCATCGTAGGGCTCTTGGAAAAGAAGGGAGTGCTTCAGTGTGATTTATATCTCCCGAGGCCTGAGGTCAGGCAAAGTTGTCCTGTATCACCTTTTAAGAAAACTGAGAAATGGAGAGGGGATGAGAAACCATCCTGAGGTGCTTTCTTAACTCTTTAAGTGTATGTTTTTGATAGGAGTCCCTTTGCCACATCCATTCCATGTATTTGTGGTAAAATCAACATAAGCAGGGCTCCCTCCTGCTCTGAGACAAATGTTACAGACTTGTCACAAAGAAATTTGGTGCCAGGTAGCTGCAATAACAGAACCGCACCATTTGTTGATGTAAAATACAAAATTTTACTAAGAAGGATGGTTAGAGCAGGTCAATAGTGATTTTTATTCTAAAACTCCTGTTCCACAACATACAGACGTGCATACGCAAACACTCATGCATGACACTCACACCAGTCAATGCACCCCTTCTGGTCCAGTTGTGGCCTGCCCTATAGCGCTGGGGGAACAGGTATTCATTCTGACTCCTTGTCACGTCTGCATTCTGGCTGGTGGCATAGCTTCTGTATGTGAACAGTTCAGCGTGGTCAAATCAATATAAGCAGGACTCTCTTACCCTCACTGAGGTAGGAGTGACCTATGTTTGCATCAGGCGCCAACTGACACAACTTTTAAGGTGAGCTGCTTTAAGGCAACAAGTTTCTGGGTTGCTTTTTTAATGAGGAATAACAAACATGCTAAAACTGTAACTTGAGGTGAGTGAGTGTAACACAATGGCTAGAAGTTGTGTGGTGGTAGAGCCAAGATTTCCTTCAAAACTTCTGGATAGTGTATCTCCAAAGTTTAGTTGTTGGCACCTAAGGATTTTTGGGATGCTTAAACAGAGTGATTTTAAGTGTACTGTATGTATAAAGCACTCTACAAATGTGAAGGAATTGCATTTGCAGCCTATGCTAGATGAGGACTAGTCAAGTTGGCAATGTAAAGTTGTCAGTAGAGTAAATTTCTGAGAATCTGTTGCAGTATTTCAAAATACTGGAACATGGGTACTTTACATGGAACAAGTAAATTAAGTTACACTGTTTGACACTGTCCCTTGAAAGTAGAGTTTATAGACTCTGATTGGTTTTGTTTCTAGCACTTACAACTGTAGAGTAGACTGATAGTCACAGTACATTCTCTCACTGCTGTAGCTTTGTTGATGTGCTGCTTATGTTTTCCAAACTTCTGGGAATTCAAATTTATTCTGATGTCATTGTTTCGTCTGTCCTTTCCATGCCTTTTCCTAAATGGATATAGGAATGCAACAATCTCCTAACCAGACATCAAGAACAGGAAAATCAAGGAAAGGTATTCTGTACAGTAGCATTTCAAATAAGAAACATGTTGTGTAATATACAAATTCTAACACATCTATGACGTTTTTTATCCTGGACGACCCTATTTTGATGGGTTTGGTTTTATAAATTAGATTTGAGAGCAGGCTTTGGGCACTTTTTATTTATTTGCATGTTTTGCATGAGTCCTTTATTATTGATTTGAGTGTTTGTTTTGTGTTAGTGCTAGTAAATAATTTTTTGTTAAATAAGTTCTTCTGTTGCTCCAAAATGGAAATGGACTTCAATTAAAATGGAAACAAGCAATCCCCAGAGAATGCTTTTCTAGATCCCATTTCTATGGTAGGGCATCAAGGTCTGTCTGAAAGCTAGCTCTCAAACTTCCTCTATTGCCTTCTAAAGGACAGTGTGACCTGGTTTTGATCATTGCTTAAAGTTACTATACATCGAAAGCAAAAGTTCAGATAACTTACTCAGCTGGTTTTATTAATTATAACTGTATTAATTGAAAATAAAACTGGAGTCACCTGTCAAGAGTTTATAACTGATGGCTCCACCCTATCCATACAGTTCTAAGAGACAGGTTTTCATTCAGCCTGGGAGGTTAGCAGGTAGATTAGACTGTGGGCACTGAGTGAGTTAACAGAAAACTGCTGTTTGTAAAACTAGTATTTTAAAGTTTTATTTGTTTGTGATAGGAAACATTAAAAATCAGAGACTGTGTTGGTATTTTAAGTTTTAGCTTGTCCTCGCACTGGAAGTTTCAGCCTCTAAGTTTTGTCTACATGACATGTCTATACTGAACATGTATGCTGTATTTCATTGTCTGAAAGCCCTGTTCAGGTCGGGAGATGTACTCATCAAAGTTCCCACATAAACCCTGTCTTTAGGACAGACAAATTTCCATGCTCATTTGTGGTTTGCTGGTAGTAGAAGAGATGTCTTCAGGCATGGTATGCCTTTGTTTTCTTTTCCCTTTAATGATTTTGTCCAAGACCTCAGTTTAGTTGTCATCATGCAACTTTATGGAAGGTCACCTATCTCCTGTTTATACACAACTTCATTTTGTTATGATAGTTAACAGGAATTACTTATCGAACTCTAGGAACGCTGAAATAGCTACTATGTGGAGGTTATATTTGTTTGTTTTTTCCCTTCTGTCTTGGGAATTGAAGAGCCCTTTTATTTCATCTTAATTGTTGATAATTGAGAGGTTTTAGCACTGTTCAGGCTGGATTCCTAGGGTTCAGATTTCAATAGTACCTCAGTGATGTGCTAGAGCACACTCTCATCGAGTTTGCAAATGGCCCCAAATTCAGGGGATCAGTAGATAAGCTTCAGGGCAGCAGTGCCATTCAGGGAGACCTTGACAAGCTGGGGAAATGGACTGTCAGGCCTGTCTTATGAAATTCAGCAAGGGCAAATGCCAAGTTCAGCACATGGAAAGAACAACCCCTTGCTACAAAACATGCTGGGACTGCCTGACTGGAGAGCTGCTTTGCTGAGAAGGCCCAAGAGCATCTTGGCAGAGAGTGAGCTGAGCATGAGCCAACAGGGTGCCCTGGCAACTGGAAGGTCAGCAGCATCCTGGGCTGTATTAAGACCAGCATAGCCAAGAGACTGAGGAAGGTGATTGCCCACCCCTACTTGGCATTCACTGGATGGTGTCCAGCTCTCTGGGTATAATTTTGAGCCCCCAGTGCAAGAGAGATTGGTCTTCCAACAGTGAGCAAGTTCAGTGGAGGGCCATCAGACTTGTCAGGGGCTGGAGTACTCGCCCTTTGAGGAGAGGCTGAGGAAACTGGGCTTGTTTGGCCTAGAGAAGTGATGACTTTGAAGGGGACCTAGCAGCAGCTTCCAGTACATATAAGGAGAAGACAATGCCAGGTGCTTCCTAGTGGTGCACTACAAGAGGCATAAATGCAAACAAGAGTGTTTCTAACTGGATGTCAGAAGCTTCACCTTGATAAGGACAGTAAAACAGAGGTTGTACAGTCTCCCTCCTTGGAGGTGTTAAAGACTGGACTGGATAAAGCCCTAGGCAACCTCATCTGACCTCATATCTGAGCCTGCTTTGAGGTGGCAGTTGGCTAAGAGGCTTCCTGAGGTCCCTTCTGACCTGATTTATCCTATGATCCTACACTTAAGTTTCCTTCATAACACTGATGAAAGCTTGGAGTGTAGTACAGAATGCCCTGGTTATGCCCCTTTTGTCTGTTGAATACCCTTTTTGGTTCAGTGTAGAGAGCTGCTGGTGATTCTTCTACCTCAGGATAAGCTTTAGATCTTGATTATGCTTTTTGATTTTTCTTGACCTTTTCAGAATAATCTGTAACTGGGTAGAGCAGCAGGTAGTATAGTATATAGCATAATGTTATACGGAACGTTACATAAAATAGTAAAATCTCTGCGTGTGGTGTGTACTGGTGTGCGTAATATGAGCTATCTGGGGGTTCATTTACTTACTGTTTTGCTAAACCACCACCATTTTGTTAACTGTTTGCTAACATAGCATATTCGTGCTATGCTGGGTTTTTTTAGAGATGTTTCTTAAACTTCTAGTTATAAGAGTCCAAAGGAGATACAGCTCTGGACTTTTTTTTTTTTTTTAAATTCAGTTTGGCTTGAAAAAGGAGTTGTTTTGGAAACACATTCATTCATGCTGTCTTGTGTTGAATTGACTACCCAAAGTTTCATTCCGTTATTACCTGTAGCATTGTCCATGCTAAATGTTTATATGTACTGGTTAATTTTTAGCACGCCAAATCTAATTTCAACATGTCAATTAATGTTTGAACAGCAATAGATGACTTTTCCCAAGGAGACTCAATAAGGTGAGACTTTAAAAATACCTAACATTTACCTGAGGAATGATTTGAGAGAGACAGTACTCATTTTGCTTTGCTTTTTAAGAAGCTCTGAGAAAGAGGGGAGTGATGACAGTTGGCATACTTCTGAGGAAGAAGAACTCGATTTTGCCCCCAAGGTATGGTGCATTTACAGGAAAAATGTTCTGCAAAAATAAGTGATTTGAATGCAAGTTTTCTCTGTGATTGAAAGAAACTGCCGTTCCAGCCAATATTGTTTTCTCCTTAGAAGCAGTCTCTGGCCTTCCAGTCTTTCTTCTGCTGTGAGTTTTTCCTAAAAGACCTGTAGCTGTGGCAGAGCATGTGGTAGATTTGTGGTTTGGGGCAAAAGAGCAATAGGTGACAAGATTAACAACCACGTTGTTTTATTTTTTTCTTATTCATTTGAGTCAGATTTGCAGACCCTAAAAGTTTATATATTACTTTTATAAACTATTCTGTTCTTCTCCAAACATTGTTATTGTTTCCTGTAAATTTGGTGATAGAATCCTGACTGATAAAGAAAAGGAGCGTTTATTTATCAAGATCTACTGAAATACTTCATCACCTAGTTCTCCTTTCCTCCTTGTCAGGTTCCTCAAGAGCACTCAGTGGATGAGTTACTCAAATGGGTTGTCTTTTTTCTTCTATAAGATGGCATTTCATGCTTGCATGTAATCTCACACTGCATGTTTTCCCTCTTTTTTGAATGCTTGGGTAGTATTCTATTTTGTCAGCTACAAGCTCTCGTGCCTACTGTTTTTACTAATGTTCTGAAGGGTTATCAACTTCTGCAGTGATGTGTGGAGCATCTGTTCTGTTGCATTGGGATTCTGCAGTGATGAGGAACCTGACTGTGGTCGTAAAACCCACTCTGTAATGCTAGAGATGCAAGCATGTTTAGTTTTAATGTGATTTTGTTTGCTTGCACTGATTTAAATAAAATGATTCATTTTTCTGGCACGATTTTGAAATTTAGGGGTATTTTGGTAAATGTAATTGCAGGGACTAATTTACGCATTAAGTCTAGGGTTCTTAACAGTTACTTGCGTTGTGCACATTTGCAAGGAAGCATCCTGAAACTGTGAGCTTACAGATAGCTGAATTTTACTTAAATACTACAAATATTAAAAACAGATTTTCAGAACTGTTATGCATGTAAACATAGTTTTGGAAACAATTTGCAGAAGGGTGTCTGCACAGTGTTTTGGGGTGAAATACTCACTGAATTGCATATGTAAGGAGTGTTTGTGTAGTTAGAACCATAGGATGGAGCAAGCACCTCAGCGCTATCAAAAGCACAGTCCAATTATATTTAATGTTCATGATTTGACATGAACAAAGGATTTGTAATTACTGTTTTAAAAAAAATGATTTTGCTTAAATAAATCTTTATTTACAGAAGCTGCAGAAGCCTAACTTGACGCTGTTAATGAATGCTTCCCAGCAATTCAGGAAAAACAGTAAGCTATTTGTCAAAGATTGCATGATATTCTGATATATAAAAGTAGACTTGCTAAGTAGGGGTTTTTTTCATAATTTTTTTTTTGCTATAGTACATGAGAAAAGTAGCATTTTGAAAACATAACACTTAGTCATTTCAGAAAAAAAAAAAGTCATATCATTAAAATGAAGATATTAATTCCCTCCCTAAGCCTTCGTCCCTGGTCAAGTCCTTCCTCCACCCTGCCCATCCCTTACCTGGCTCCTTTTCCAGACATTCCCAGATGACTCCTCTCCTGTGCAGTAATCTGGTAACATGCCTGTTGCTATTTTCATAATTCTATTTGTTCACATGCATTTTTCCTTTTCTTGTGCTTCAAGATGATGGTGATGGTTCTAGAATTGAAAGTCCTAAGTCACCAAAGAAAAGCCTCAAACAAAGAACCCCATCAGATGCAAACCTGAACAAAGGAAAGTGTGGAGAATTGTTGAATCAAGATGTCTCAGATGCAAGCAACCTGGAGGAAGAAGAGTTGGAGGAGGAGGAGGAGGAGGAAAATGACAATGATGATGATGAAGATTATGAGGAGGAAGAGGAAGAAGAGGAGGAGGATGAAGATCTTATTCAAGATGAAAAGGAGGAAGAAGATCTGGAAGATGAAGAAACTCAGTCTAATGACATACTAGAGGAGGAGCAGGGGCAGAAAACAGAACCTAAAGGGGAAATTAATCAGAAACTGGAGTATTTTAGTAATGCTAAGTATGAAGGGGAAGCTCAGTGTGGAACTGGAGATGTCTGTGATGATGATTATAAAATAAGTAAAGAACTTGACCAAAAGGTGGAGGAATCTGTTGATACTCCTGTGTCTTTTATAGCTGGGAGTTATGAAACGTTGCAAGAAAATATAACTGCTGTGCCTCCAAAGATAATGAATAATGAAGTATCTTGCAAGTCCATACCAAAACAAGCTGTCTTTCAAAATCTAAATAATTTGCAAGATACACAAGAAAGCTGGAACAGGAAAAGCATGTTTCAGGAGAATTTTTACAGAAATACTGACTCCTCTTTTGCAGACTCTGAAATGAAAAAAGAGATACCCCAGCCTCTATCAGGTAGTTGCGTTAAGGAAAAAAAGTCAAGCTTCAGTGATGGCTTTGAAAGTGGTAATAACTCTTGGTCAGCAGCAAAACCCCCAAAGCTAGAAAGTCAAAAACTGAACTCTGTCATTCTTGAACGTGTGGATGATGAAGATACTGAAGAAGAGCAATATGAAGAAGTAGATGATAAAGTCTGTGAAGCACTGAAACAGTACAGTGAAAACTTGCGCTTAAATAAGTGTGAAAAAACTTCGAGAGCAGCATTTCATTCAAGCACCAAAGTAAGTATATAGGGATGATTCAATCACAAGGCTGTTTTCTATGGGTAACGTAGTTAAGAAACAAAATGGTAAACTGGATTTCTGTTAATGCTTATTCTTCACATATATCCTTCTCTTGATCATCACTTTTTTATATTAGAAAATGTCTTACTCCTGGCCAAAGCAGTTTCTTAGGTGTATGACTAATATTAGTCAGTATTTTGAATTATTTTTTTTTCCATTGGTTACAGTAGTTTTGCAGGAAAAAAAATAGGCAGTAGACTTTTTCTGGGATCAATTACATTTTTCTCAGTTTTATGTACAGATCTTATCTGTGAAGACTTACTGCCATTTAGTAAAATTCATGTTGTGATGGCTGAAAGTGAGGAAACAAAAAGAAATTTGAATAAGATTGAGAGCGAGAAGCTAGTAATTTTCCTTGGAGCAAAGTAGGGGAAAAGAAGGATGTAACTTAAATTTAACTAGAGTTAGAGTGGCATGAGAAAGTGCTTCTCAGGGGCTTTGCAGAACCAGGGGTGAGACTTAAAACATTAGGTATTGCTGTTTACTCATATAGATTCCCACAGAAAAACTGAAGGCTTTGTAAAACAAAGCTCAACAAAGTTTCCATTTTGTCTTACACAAAACTATTTTTCAAGTTGTTGATGGTTGGCAAAGGAGATGCTTGCTTCTGTTCTTTCCAGCTGTTTTGGTTGATCTCTTTTAGGAAGAATCACCTGAAGAGCAAGAAGAGGGGGAGGAGCAGGAGAAGGAAGACACTGGTGAAGAGCTACGAACTGCAGTTGTTGAGGGTGTGAAAAATTCTAGTTGTAATGATAGCCATCAAGTCCACGGTGGTTCAAAAGATAATGCTGGTGAGACAAATGAGTTAGTAAATTTGGATCCAAATTCTTCCTCTATAAATATTAATGCACAGTAAATGAACTAAAATGGTGATCGACTTCTGAGATAGCAATTTTTTCCCTTGCCTGTGAATCCTTGTGGGCGTTGGCAAAGAAGGAAAGCAGCTTTTGTTCCTTTTCATTCATTCTTGAAGAACTGAAATTGTGGTGTTGGATTCCAAACGATGCTATATGAAGCAAGTGCTGTTCTTGCTTTTGTTGCTGTCTTCTCCCTGAAGCAGTGTGAACAAAATGCGGAGATGAAGAAGAGAAGGACTAGAGCGTCTTGGGTGTGACAGTAGTATTCCATTTTCTGGCCCGTACTGTCAGATTGAAAAGCTGTGATTGCTCTTGGCTGAAGCCTGGGAAAGATTTGAGTCAAGCTGAGGGAAAGCTGTTCTGTTCCAGTGCCTCCCCTTGTCCAGTTACAAAATGTAGAAGGTCTCTCCAGTGCCACACTTGGTAATGCTTGGTAATGACACACAGCTCGGTCAATTGAGCACTTTGGTGCTCACCTCAGGTTTTGGAGCAGAAGGTGGCACTGTTGCCATTGTCTGTCTCCTGAGAGTAGCTTGGTGTGGTAGATGTTACCAGAGCATGTGTAGCTGCTGATCAACTGCTACACAAGGAGCCTGGCAGAACCTGCTGTATTCAAGTGTTGTGCCTATACATGCTGTTCTGTCTCTATACATTTTACCATAAACACAAGTTTGGCATAGCAGTTAGAGCCCAGGCTGGAACCAGCAGTTGCCCTCTTCTGGGGTGGGTGCCCTCACTGCTCTCCAGCTCCTTCCCCCTTCCTTGTGTGCATGTCTCCAGATGAGTGAATCTTGAATCAGTTATACCTAATGGAGTAGCTCAAAACAGAGAAATGAAGGTAGTCTAATTTGGCCAGGAACCCACTGAGACTGAGCCTTATGTTTGTCTGGTAGAGAAGAGATTTGGTTGTTAACTCCCTGAGATAGAAATGTCTTTTATGTGTTTGGGGTGAGTTTTTGAGCTGTGAGCCTCTATTTTTAAATGGCAATGCTTAGGTGTCTAGCTTCTGGGAAGAAGGTGCAAGGCAACAACTCTCTGTCAGGGAAGATCTTTCTTGGTATCACTACAAAAGGAGCATTGTTTCTTAGTGATTTTAGTGATGTTAGTGTGAGAATGTTTTGGGTAGTGTTTCTACAGTACCTCCTGTACAATGAAAAGTGGTAGTAAATGCCAAATTGTGGAGCTGTAGGCTGGAGAGCAGGTGACCTAAACTGCATACCACAGGACTGCAGTGTGCTGGATTCTCTTTCTGAATGTTACCTAAAATGGGTTTGGTATTGCTTGTAGCTGTGTCTGCTGTTGTTGTTAGCCATCTTCTGCTGGAAAGGAGGGAAGAGGAGGTGGTGATACAAAGGAAATACCATGATGTGGCTGGGTGTGATGAAACCCTTAAATAACACTCGCTTCTTAGTGTGTCCTCAGCATAGAACCACTGCATGTCTTTTGGATGCAGGGCTTGACTGATGGGGAAAAGCAGAGTGAAATATAAACATTCAGTGTCTCACTTCTTACCTTGTTTGTAGGTGCCCTTCCAGCAGTGGGAGCAGAGGAAGAGGAAGACGATGAATCTCCCTGGGATTCTGAGGTACCTTGTGAAAGACAAGGGGGTTCCCACCAGAGGGAGAGGGTAGGGTAGGAGTAAGATCCAGGAGCACTTGAGAGCTTGCTTTTGACTTGGGCCCTACCATTGATGAGGCTTATTTCCTCTTTTCCTGCTTCTGCCATGTTTGTAACTGGTGGCCCTTGAAATACTTCTGTTCTAGGCCAGCTGTTCAGTTAGGATTGGGATGAAGTTAGGTCAAGCTAATGACTTTGATCTTAGCAAATGGCCTTTTGAGTTTGGTTTCCAGTATAGTATCGAAGCAGTAAAGTTTTTTGCTGCTTAAAATACTCTGAGCTTTTCATAGGGGCTGGCAGGGTTGTTGATTTTTCACCATACAGCTCTTTTCTGCTGACCTGGTCAGTGCTTGCCGTTAGGGTCTACAGCCTAGATGGTTAGCTGCTTCTGAATAGATCCTCTCTACCTTCTGTAGGTGTACTTCAGCCCTTTCTGAAAGTCGTGTTCACATGCAGGCTGTTTTTGCCCTTTGAATTCTTTCTGTCTGTGGTAATGGGCTAGAAGAAAATAAGCAGGGTCTGTAGCTAACCCCTTCTGGCTTTTCTTGTGAGGAAAAATTATTCTTCTCCACCCCTTTCTTAAAAATACAAGACTAAAATATCTTTTTTTTTGGGTAGCCTTAGCTTCTGTAAGCTTTGCCTTGCTAGTCTTTGTTCAACCCAAATTACCCTCGAGACTGGGAATAGCAATGTGTTCACTCACCATTGTAGGATACATGCCTAGGGAACATAAGCACAAACTTCAGTGTCGCGTAGAAGTTCAGCACAAATGTTGGATCACCACAGACCTGCAGTTATTAATCCACAACCCACATCTTGAGTTACTGTGTTAATTCTCTTTTGTGGCTAAGATCTGAAAACACACACAACTGCTGTGATTTTCCAATATACAATGTCTCGATGTGTCCTTCCCAGGGGTCTTATCAAAGGTTTTTGTGTCTCTAATATACTTGATACCATGCTACGCAAGTTGGCTCAGCAGGAGCTTTTTGCATAGAAATGAGTTGAAAATGCATTTGTACCAATTCTCATGAATGTGTTTTACATTATACAGATGGATTCTGAAAGTCCAAGAAAAGTATCGTCCGCTGTGTTGCTCCCAGCTGCAGACAGACATGGATCATGCTCACAGATTGTTTCAGGGGAACGCAACAATGGTAACTTCACGGTGGACTAAGTGTTTGTCTGTAAGCATTTACAGGCTAAAGTGAACTTTCATCAATGTTTGTCTTAGGAATGCTGTTATGATGTGGGTGTGTGCCATAGCAATGTAGTGCTTAGTATTTTATTAAGCAGTTATCACAGTGCTTGCTGGCCAGTTTGCAAAGGAAGTTTGTCTCGTTTGCATTATGTCTGTTCTTCAGACAAGGTTTTATTTTTTTGGATTCAGGTTCTTGTTGCATAGTGATGAAAGTGTACGTGGTTTAGGACTGACGTGTCCGAACATGTAAACATTCTTGGATGATAAGGCAGCAGAAGAAAGCTATGATCTGGCTAAGCATTTTTTTTCTTCTAGCTTAATTTTTGATAGCTTTCTGCTGTGATTTGCCTAGGAGCTAAAATGTGACTAAAAATTCAGGTTTTATTGCCAGGGTTTATTCAGGTTTTATTGCCACTGCCTGTGGTTTGTGACACTATCTCTTGAGCATCTTGAGCATAGGATGGCAGGGAAGTTTTGCTGTTGGGGTAGAACTATTTTCTGAAGGATTTCTCCTTTAATAAATGGTTTGTATGATTCTACTAAGATAAGTTTAAAATCATTGTCAAAAGGGGATGGTAACCTTTCTAAGGTATTTCCATACTGATAGACCACCAAGTTTACTGAAATCAAATATTGTATTTTTTAATGATATTTTTTTTTTTTTTTAAATCTAAAATTTTTGCTGTGGAGTCATTCTTAGTAGCATTTCATATACTTCTTTCACGAAAGGACTCAAACTGTGAGATGACTAAAGCAGAGGATTTGAAAAATATAGGTAGGCCTATAGGATTGTGTGGGTTCGGAATGATTTAATGTTGGACAAAAATTTAAGAAAAAAAGTATTTGGAACTATGCTATAAAAGGAGATTACAACCAAAGAACTTTGTTTCTTTTGTTCCCTTGCAAGCTAAACCAGAACAATCTGCTGAGAACTAGCTTGATATTACCTCATTGAATGACACATGTATGAGGTTTCTGTGTCTGCACCCAGGCTTTCTCTGTCCCATCAATGGAAAAGAAAATACTCTTCAACATTAAACACTTGTAGGATAATCACAATCATAGTGCTGTTGGACTGTTTTATCATCATTTGTTACAGCAAACCAGCTTTGGCTTTTGAAATAATCCTTTCAGAAAGCAGGATTCAGCTCTTCAACAGGACTACGTATTTTGATCTTGTTCTGTTAACAAGCATGACTTTATTGCTTCACATGAATTGTCCTAGTTCTGTGATTATTATTTTTTAAATCCAAGCTGCATGATGGGAAGTATGCATTGTCCATTTCTTCTATGTTGTGTGATGAGGTAAATTGAATGTTAATTATCGTATTCTCAATGAACTAATGCTTGCAAGTAATACTAAGTTGTAGAAGCTACTGGTGTTGAATGGAGTAAAAGATACCTTCAATTAAATAAAATAACACTTCCAAAACATTTTTCACCTCTAGGCTTTTCGGAGAAGCCCAACAATTCCCAGGTAAGTATTTGTTCATGTCAGACTGACTATTTGCTCTGCTCATTAAATAGTACGTAGTTACTTTTAATTTGGTTTTTATCATTGGATTGTGTCTTTCATAGCTGAAGACTCCCAAATCTGTTTTGGAAATGAATGAAACTTCTCCTAAAAGAAGGCAACAGAAATCAGGTAAAGTTCATTTCATGTGGTTCTGGGTTTAGCTTCATAATCTTTCTGGATAGGAGTATTTAATAAAGCATATGACTTAATTGTTTTGCAGATCTATTGGAGGAATTTGGTTTAGGAGATGCAGAGGACATTGAAGGTATTCATAACAGTCTTTATGTAGTGTTCTTTTATGGACGGACACATTGTACTTGAAAATTTTTTCCTAATATTAAATTAATGGTTCTTGCAAGGTCTTCTGGGAGCAGAAATATAAAATACTGAAATATGCCTCTATGCGTGTGCATGCTCCCTCCTGTAGTCTGCCATTCAACACTGTAAATACTTTTCTATGAGGTAGGCTTCCTTCACCATACCTGCTGTCATCTCCCCTTTTCAGGCAGTCCTCAAGTTTGCTTTCCTTCCAGTTTCTCAAAAAACCCCTTCCTGATATTCCTGGTTTCCTGAGCATGTGCTGTGGCTGATTCCAGGCTAGGGATCTGGAAGCTCAGCTGTCCAGGAGTTGCATGTGAGGCAGAAAGGGTAATTCTTGGACTCATGCGGTAGCTGAGCAGGAATTATTACTTGCCTGGCTTTTCTCTACATGTCTGGCAATTGTTTTGAAATACGTGGCAAATGCATTCCTCTGAGGCCTGCCGCACTTGTTTCATGGAAACTGACCAGCAGGTTCAGAGGTAGGGGAAGAAAGTGGGGAAGAGAGAAAAGGTGGGAGGAAATGACAGTGTCAGCATGTTGTCAGTAATTGCCTTTTCTTAGGAAACAAGGCTAAAAGTGAAGCAGCTAGCTAGTCCACCATACACTGGAGAAAGAGTATATGACCTTAATGGTTTTTTAGTTCCTTTGTTCTAACATTTATTGATTTGCATATTCGTTAATGAGCTGAGAAACAATTCATTCAGATTTTAGAGTTTCTACAGTCAGCTATTGAAGATATCTGTTCACCTCTCTCTGGTTTATATGTTAGCAAGTAAGTGAAGTAGGTAATCGGAAATAATTTTATAAATTATTGTAACTTCTAAGTATGGAATACAAATATTTCCGAGTTCTTTGGCATCCTTGTTTTAGGGAAAAGAAAGTACCATTGTTCTTTTGACAATCGTAGAGATTAAATTTCTCTCTAGGAAAAATATCTCTCTCCTCCTCTCTCTTTCATGTATTCACGATGGGTAAGCAACAACAGGGCCTCTTTTGCCCTTTATTTTGCAGTGTTAGCATTTTTGTAAGATACACAGGGGATTGTTAAAAGTTGTTCAGTTAAAACATGATTTGTGGTTTTGTCTGTATTGCACAGTAATGTGAAATGTAGCCCCACGACCAGAATGTTATAAAATTACAAACACAGAAAGGAAAGACTGCCTTTTCATAGCTCAGTTCATGTCAGCTATTTTTCCTGTGTGTCTCTATTCATTTAGTTTGTGTTGGTTTTTACCCATATGTTATCTTGAAGATAGGGTGTTAAGAAGTACATGTGAAAATTTCTTTCAAATTTTTATGTTTTGGTTTGGGTTTAAGCAATTTGGATTGCTTCAGCAAAGCATGATTCCTGTGGCACAAATATTTCTACCTCTAAAAGGGTTGAATGCCACCCTTCACAAGTTTATTTCATAAATCTGGGAAACAGGTACGGTATCTTGCACAATTCAGTGTTGAATGAGAGACAAAATTTCCCATTCTATTTACTTTGATACTGACTCATAGTAATAACTTATTAAAATCTGGGTTTGGGTCAAAATTAAGTAGTAGTGTTCTCGTGTTTTCTGTGTAGAAGGGTAGCTGCTTTGCACTGTAATCTGCAAAAAGTCATTATGTAAGACAATTTATGTGGAGGGAAATCTCAGAAGAGAGGAGAGATACAGGCTAATTGGGAAGAACACTAAAGTCATCTTTCAATGCTATCTAGAGAACATGTAGAGTAAAAGGTGGGGGATTTGCATCTTTTGTATACACAGGGATTTCTGTGTATTTATATGTTAGGCCTGAAGCCAGATTCGTCTAACCCTGATGCAGGTATCCATTAATAAAAATACATGCTAGTAATAAATGACTGGCAAAAATACTGTAATTTAATTTTTCTCTCTGGATTTTTTATATATGTAGGGTTCTACCAGTGTTTTAACTAAAAATTTCTCCCTGTGCTAAAAGTGAAAAGTCTTGACAATGAGTGATCCCTCTTTCACAATGTTGACAGAAGCCAATAATACAGAAGATACTCATGAATTACTGCTCCAAGAAGAGATTTTACTTGCAACAGCTAATTGGGAGAAGTCCTTATCTTTTTTTTGTTTGTGTATGTTTTTGAATTATTTTTCCAGCGGCTTAGATATAGTCACACTATGAGAACCGGAATTTTGCACACAGAAGAGCATTGCTGCCTTTCATCTTTACTGTCTTTTTCCTTGTTCTGTGTCCATCGTACAGAAATTTCAAGATTGATTAAACCCTATGGAAAAAAAATCTTATGGACTCCAAAGATGCTAAAATCTTATCTAAAAACTGAGACTTCAGACTCAAATAGTTGCTGCTGAAATCTTACTGTTGACCATGATGGGCAAGACTGAATAGGAGTTCAGGTTGCTTTTGATTATAGCAGTATGGCACCTAATTTTAAAGTGTCTGGACTCTGAAACAAAATCCAAAACATTCAGATGCTTACATACTCTGTACAGACAATGTGAATTGCGTGTTTAGAAGGCCAGTACAGAACTCTGGGTGCTAACAGGTCTGCTTTTATGCAGCTTTCAGGCAGATAGAGTTGACCAGAAAAGCTTGTTCAGTTTGTGTTGTGCAGTATTCTTCAGGAAAGGTGTCAGAGCTCTCCTGCATCCACAAAATACTTAGTCTATCTTTTAAGCAAGATTGTGGTGTTCATGTTACATGGTGGGAGCAATAACACACATCAAGTTGTATGGTAGGAAGCTGCATGCATGTTGCAGTTTGTGACCTGAATGAACACTGATGAAGTGACAGAAGAAATCTGGTAAGTGTACCTTTATGGAAATGGTGTAGGAACAGTCCCATCTGTCTGAGAGATTGACCACCCCCTGTTGTGTTTGAGCTGGAGAGGCTTCTAGGAGTAGAAACTTCAAGCACACTTCAAGTCCAGACGCTTTGTAGGAGATACTGTTACCACCCAAGAGGCTTATGTGCAAATTACCAACATACTGGGTGCCTGTCTGTGGCCAGTTTTGCTCTCTTGAGTTATTTTCATTTTGTCTTCTGAAAGGATGTTACAAATCAGTGTGATGTCTGTGCAGATACTTCTCTTGGATTTCATCAGGCTCCAGTGCTTCTGGCCACCCCTTCCAGTTGGCACTCACAGAACTGTATGCTCATTGAGTGAGGGACTTGCTGGTTCAAATTATCCAGCCACATTACCATTCTAGTAAGAGGGATAGGGACCTATCTACAAAAACTATACGTAACTATTGGAGGAAAGGAGGATGTTGATCTCCAAATTATGGGGGTTATTTGTAGAGGAGCTAAGGTTTTACTTATCCCAAGCATCTTGGTATTGATCATAGAATCATAGAATGTTTAGGGTTGGAAGGGATCACTAGTGGTCATCTAGTCCAACCCCCCTGCAGTGAGCAGGGACACTGCTGACTAAGGTTATTTGTAGAGGAGCTAAGGTTTTACTTATTCCAAGCATCTTGGTATTGATAATTTATTACACTCTCTACAGAACCTTCTGTGGTGTTACCTACAAATGTTCCTTGACCAGCACATCTGTCCTCTATTTCTAATGCATTAATCTGTGCCAGCAAACAGCTTGGTATTGGGATATCTACAAGCATCAGTAAAGGCTAAATCTGCTCTGTGATCTTGAAAAACAAGAAAAAGGGAAAAATGACAGTTTTCCTTATAGAACATTATTCTTATATAACCATTAATAATTATTGTTATTACTATCTTTAATACTCATCAGACTGTCTGAAATGCATCACAGTAATCAATAGATATCATCAAAACCCTGTGAAATAAGTGCTGTCAACCCAGTAATGACTAATGTGTGTTGGGAAATGCCCTGTGCTAAAATACCCAAAAAAGAAATTTAAAAAAAATTCTAGGAAATTACACCCACCAGTGATTGAGTTTGGAGGAGAAGGTTGTTATCTCACGCTGTGTGACTTGAAGTTAGAATCGACCTCTGGAGACCTGTATGACTGAGGAGCTTAGATTCCCAATTCAGACATATGAGTTGTAACTCTCAGCTTGTATCTAATATAATCCCTTTCAAGAAATGAAAGCTTGCAAAAGGAGTGACCTAAAGCAGAAAATGCCAGAAGTGAGGTTGCCCTTGTGACTTGTTAATTCTGGACCCTTTTGTATGTTTTTGATGATACCTATTTTCTCCCTGTCTTGCTCACTTGTAGGAAGAATAGGATATTTTGTCCCTCTTCGGCAGTGAAGCTTTGTGTATAGAAAGGCTATTGCATAGAAACCATAGAATTATGGAGCAGGAAAGGAGATGCAGAGTGATTAAGGTGAAAAGCCTCCACCTCTGTTTTTAGATGCCACACTTGAGCTGCTGGGACTTGTTTCTTTCTGAATACTTGATACTTCAAAGCTTTCAGTGTGCCTTCCACACAATGACAATGACTTGCTACTTCTGAGTTGTATCTGGGACTATTTGGAGTCCAGTTCTCAAATGTAACAGAGCTTCAAGGTAGGCACAACATAATGAGGAGCCCAGACTTCTTCTGAAGAGTTTGTGGCCTGTCCAGTATTACTTAGAAATTCTGAGAGAGGAAAGGGTGGAATCCAGTTTTCAGTGGTACAAGTGAAATGTCCAGTTCATGGGTTGTTTAATGTTTCACAAGCCTGTCTCTCATTCAGTGTTCCATCCATCTCTTCTGCAACAGATGAGGCAGCAGTTTGAAATACTTCAGTCCAGATCCATGTCTAGAGACAGATTTGTTTTGTGTGTGGAGTAAAGCTGGGGCCTTAAAGATTTCAAGCCTGTGATTTTCTGTGCACAACACACAGGGATATTAAAATTGCTGGAGGAATATAGCTAGTTACTGTATGGCACACAGTGTGTTTTTTTTCTCTCTCCCTGCTTTTCGGAATGGTTTGTTTGTGACCATTGATAGTGATTTTCAGCCAATTTCCTTTATACATTAAAAAATAAAATACCCTGGAAGAGAGGAATTCACACAGATGCATCTTAAATCTGTATCATAATTTTCTCTCTACTAGTTCACAAATTTGAGGTGATGTGTTATTTTGTGTTAAGATTTTTCTCACAAATACGGTAATTCAAGATGCACTCCAGGTATAGATAAGTAGTATGAAGTCATGCTGGTTATAAAAATATGTATTTTTCACTGTAGGTGAGTACTCAGGATCCACCTTTCATATGTCATCATCAGCTGAAAAAGAAGACATCAAGGATGCTAGTGAAAACTGTGAGGTGTGGGTATGTAAAACCAAATATAAACCCAACTATTTTTAATTAGAGTCTGAATTGGTAAATTGTATTATACATTAAGGTAAAGAAAGCTTACTAGTCAGTGAATAATGCTGAAGGAAGAGTCCTGTAGATGAAGGTTGTGTTATAGTCTGAAGTAAAGTTGGATACAGTTGCCTTATGGTGGGTAAAATCCTTGTCATTATGTTGGATATTTGCTGTTATACTGATTTGTTTCCAGCTGGTTTGCTTAAAGTTTGACCAGTGTTTTTCCTTTTGTGTGGTGCTGAGAAACAGTGCAGTCAAATGCATTTTTTTCCCCTAGGCAAAATGCACATTCAAGTGAAGAGGGAGAGTTGTCTGTAATCTGCTGATCTGTTTGATTAAACACACATGGTCTTCCCCTTTGTAAGAGAAAGGTCAAATAAAAATCTTGAAGTTTGGTGACCTTCCTGATACTTTCGCTGCCTCTGCAAAATACACCCTTGTTTGGCCATGTTGATAAGTGTTTGAAAAGAGCTTTTTTTCAGAGGACGTTCAAAGGGGGAATAAGGCAGGCATCCTGTTTGTGTTGGGCTTGGAGGACAGGGCTGGATAGAGGGATCTAGAGAAAAGGAGGCTGAGGGGAGACCTTATCGCTCTCTACAACTACCTGAAAGAAGGTTGTGGTGAGGTGGATGTTGGTCTCTTCTCCCTGGTAACAGGCGATAGGACAAGAGGAAATGGCCTCAAGTTCTGTCAGGGCAGGTTTAGGTTAGACATTAGGAAAAATTTTTTCACTGAAGGGCTTGTCAAGCACTGGAACGGGCTGCCCAGGGAAGTGGTCGAGTCCCCATTCCTGGAGGTATTTAAAAGATGGGTAGACAAGGTCCTTAGGGACATGGTTTAGTGGTGGAATGGCAGTGTTAGCTTAACGGTTGGATTTGATGATCTTAAAGGTCTTTTTCAACCTAAACGATTCTATGATCTGGAGTCTTCTGTAACCTCTCAAAGGACAGTGGAAGAAATTACTTCCACACCACATCCAGGCACCACGAGAGAGGGGCATGCTTAATTTTAACAGGCTGAGCACAGAACTTAAGCTTATTGGAAGGTGGTAGTAGTTGGGCAATGAACTTGGGAATGGAGAGGCTGAGACAGATGGTGGCTGGCTAAGGTGCTCCTTCCCTGTTCTGAAAGGAGGAATTTTTGCAGAGGGAGAAAAGGGCCTGGCTAACAAGAAAAGAGAGCAAGGAGTTGGATGGTCTTATTAGCCCATTGGGACACCAAGGCTGCAGGCCCTATTTAGAAGGGACTACGAGCTAAGGAGGCGTGTGGGGAGGGACCATATTGGGAGGAGTGTGACACATGACAGGAGCAGTTAGAACTGTTGAGGAACAGAACATGGGGTCAGGGACATGAGGAGACTAGGTGAGGTTGAAGCATGGTACAGTTTTCATACAAGCTTGGGTTCCTGATTTTTGGGATAAGGGGAGAAATGGGCAGGTTTCCCTGATAAATGCTTTTCTTTGGAGCTTAGAATGGAATTTAATATTTCTGAGTCTTGGGTGAAGAAATAGTTCTAACTTAGCCAATTCTCCTTGTGGTGAACAGTAAAAGCTTGTCAGGTTCATTCACAGTGTGTTAGCTCAGCTGGCAGGGGACTGTAAAATGCGAGACAGTAAAGAATGATGGAGGAAGGATAGTGGGAAAATGTAGGCAGTTGTAATGAAAAATGGTATTAAAGCAATAAAACGTGAAAAAGTAAATTGTTTTGTGACAAATGCCACCAGTTACAGAAAGCAGGCAGGCTAAAAAGTAAAAACAACCCTCATGTCCAGACAAATGTGGTACACGAAAAACTGCTGTCTCTCAAGTAAGTCCTTCTATTTTTAAGAAAACGATGATTCGGTGATGCTTTAATTTAGTATCCCTTGATTTTTACTATAAACAATTGCTTTCAAAATGTCTTCTATTATTTCTGTTATGTGATAGGATGAGTTTGCAACAGAAATTACCTAGATTAACTGTAACTTCCTTTTTCTTGGTAATCTTTCTGTCTGTACCTGTTTACTTAAGGATAAATACATTTTAGAAACTACCAACTTGATAGAAAAAACAGCACATGAAAATCAGACTGACAAAGCAGAAATTTCACACCAGGAAGCCCTAGCAGAAAATGAGGAATTGCACAGTACTGACAAGCAGTTAAATCGAAAACCTTGGGAAGAAAGATATGAAAGAATGTGGGTTGAAAATGAGAAAAGGGAATTGAAAACAAATTTTAAAAACATTACAGCAGAGCTGAAGCAGCTGTTTGGTGAAATTAATGAAACTGGGAAAACTATTTCCCTTGTGGAGGAAATGTCAGAAGATGGCTTCAGAGAAGAATTGAGAAGTTCTCGTGTTGTTTCATCTTGTGCAACAGAATCAAGTAATAGGTTAGAAAGTAAAGATGAGTTTGGAGATATTGAACTTACGCTAGGTGGAAAAGAACCCAAAATGGGAATTGTAATTCCGAGTCTTGGTGTCCTTCCTGATCAAAATAACTTAAATGCAAACATTGAAGATGCCTGGAGTACAGATGAAGAAGACAGCACAAATGATACAGATAATACAAAGGTGCCTCTAGCAAAAGGAGAGGAAAAGAAAATGCCTACTATGGAAATGGAAGAGAATGAAAATGGAAGTAGTAGAAATGTAGAGGGAAGTCCTGAATACTGCCTGAGACATAGGTTAAAAACAAGTATTTTGGATGATGTTTCTAATATTCTTCCTCAAATAAGACCTGTTTCTACAAGTGATGAAAATACGCTTTTTGTAACAGAAAGGAAACTTGGAAAAGACTCTGGATTTAATGATGATGTTTCCAGGGGCTGCCTCATCAACAATAATACAATAGGAGAAACAGAAATTGACAGTCTTTTTGCAAATGCTCAGCAATCGTGTGGCATGCTGAAAAGGAATCTTGATGAAGAACTAAAACAAGATATGGAAAGATTTAAGAGTAAGGTAGGAATGCTGCAAATAGTATTCCTGGCTTTGGAGAAAGAGAAGGTGCAGCTGCAAAAAGAGGTAGAAGTTCACCTGCTACTCCTTATTCTTTAGTCTTTCTCCATATCAATGGTCCTGTTCACTTTAGCTATTCATCATTAAGGGAAGATGCTTTGTCCAAATTGGGTTTTGTTTTAATGGAAATATGTTACTTACGAATAAAGAAAGCGGTGGAGAGTTGTCCTTTTCCCCATTATGTAATTAGAAGGCTTTTGGAAAACACAGTATGCATTATTGTTCCAGTTTAACAATAGGTGGCACTCAGTTCCAGTGTACGTAGTTATCATTTCATTGCCATAAAAAGAAATGTGCACAATTCCATCAGTTCTGATTCTGACTCAAAGAATGAAAATAGCTTCTGAACAGGGTCTTGACTAATCTATTAATTTACTGTGATTTCTGCATGGTGTGTCTTCATTGCCCTTTGCTAAAATTCCTTTTTGCTGTGAAACCATTTCTGATTGAGGGTTTGGAATCTCCTCCCCCCTGCAGCTTCTCACCTTCTTCCATTAAGGAAGCTGTAGCCCAGCACATTTCCACTTGATTTTTCTTTTGTGTGTGTTTTTTTACAACTATCATTGTGCAGTCCTTCTAACTGTCCATCAGTAACACTTTCACTTTTTTGTTGTTCATGTTTTAATATACACTGTTGTTTTCTTTCTAATGTGTATGTTCTTGTTATAGCTGTAGTCATGAGTGAATTCAAAGTACTTGCAAAGACTTGCTATACTTTGTACTGTAATTTTGTGGAAATGCTTCTCTATGAATTAATTTTTTTTTTTCATTTTACATGATTTCAGAGGTAAACCTTGAATGATTCAGTCTTGAATAAGGTGTTTCTCTCTTCTAGAAATATGGAGAAATACATGAAGCTTAACTTTCTTTTTGTAGGTTGAGAAGGAAAAAAGCAAACAAATGCAGGCGGTGGCAAAACAGGAAGATCCTGATAAATTAAATACACCAGCAGGCAACTTTACTAATCAGCAAGTGAAACAAAAGCTTACTCTGAGGAAGAGTGACTGTTTGAAAACGGAGCATGAAAACACTATAGAAGAAAAAGACAGAAAGAATTTTTCTTCTGAGGAGACATCAAAATTGAATAAAATGCCGATGAAAGGGTAAAATAAGGAAATAATCTCTAATTCTTACTTGTAGTACTACTTCAGTATCTTCTAGGTTTTCTAATATTGTAGTAGTTGAAATAGTTTCCTCAGTGCTGAAAGCCATACTGAGTAGTCCACTGTTTCTCAAATATTTAAGAAAAAAACCACATTTTTTTAGAAAAAACCAAGCTCATAATGGAGGTTCAGACTTATTGCCTGCTTTAAAAAAAGGAAAAAAAAAGAAAAAAAAAAAAGAAAAGGGGGGGAAAAAAAAAGAGAAACCAAATTCCTGTGGACTTCCTTGTCAATACTGAGACAAAAACAGAGTTGAAGACTGGGAAAAACAGTTATTTTTGTAGGAAATGGCCACCCAGAAAAGAAAAGTAGGAACTGGCAGTTTACTTTGCTTTCTCCCTTTTCTAGGTGATTTTAGTCATCTCCATGCAGTTGGTGTTTTTCTTTTCATTAAGTCTAGATGCTCTTTGTCAGGAAAAGGGAAAAGATTATATTACCAAACCAATCTCAAAAGTTTGAAGAAAGCACAGATATTTTTATGTGACGCTAAGCAGGAGGTTTTTCCTGTCTGTCCTTCAAAGGAATCTCTGCTGTAGATACTTCCTCTAATGGGGTTATTAGATATGTTCCAGCTTACCTGAATCTAGCCCAGATTCCATGTTTCCCTCTCATTCCTAGTGGAAGGTTTTTTTTAAATATTTGGGTATCTTCTATGACCTTTGGAGTCAAGTTTATGTTTTATCAAAAATATTTTTCATCTCAGTTGTTTCTGAACATCATCTTAAGTATGATTGTTGCCCAGAAATATTTTACGTAAAGCTACTCAATTGGTGATTTTTTTTTTTCTTTCTGTTTAATGTAGTAAACTTGCCCTGAGTGTCAAAGTTGCAAAGAAAAATAAAAGACAGGCTTCAAAGCAGAAGGCTAATCAGCAGATGAGCTCTTCCAGTGGGAATAATTTTCAAGTACTGGATGATAGCACTTTCAGTGAAACATCTCAAGATGAAAGAAGGTACTGAATATAAGGAATGTTATAAATAAAACTTACTTAATGATTAAAATTGACCTGAAAGCTAAAGGTAAGTTTTGCAAACCTGTGTACAATGATTCGTGTTCTTTCATGTGACCACACTACCCTGGTGGCCTTTGTGTTCAAAAAAACCCTTCCGTTTTGCTTAGAGTGCTTTGAACATACTAGCCAAGTTAATGATACGTACGGTCAGATGTGCACAAATTCTGAATTACCTGCGTGTGTGCGTGTGCATAGATATATATATTTTGTATTTTTAAAAAGGGAGAGGAGAGTCTTACAGAAGAGCAAAATTACTCTTTCACTGCAGGCATCTCAGGTTTTTTTTTCTGGCTTTTTGTTTTTTTTGTTCCAGCCATGTCCCCTCCCAGCTTCTTGCCTACCCCAAACTTACTGGTGTAGGAGGCAAAGTGAGAAACAGAAGGTGTTGACACTGTACAAGTGCTGTTCTGCAATAGCTAAAACATTGGTGTGTTATCAGCACTGTATTGGGCAGAAATCTAACACACAACATTGTGGGCTGCTATGAAGAAAATGAACTCCATCCCTGTGGATGGAGTTAACTATTAACTAAATTGACTCTGGACCTAGCACACTAGACAATCCAAAATTATGGTTCTTTGACCTGTAAAAGAAGAATTCTCAATACTGAAGAGACCTGAACTTCTAGTATTAAGCAGGGAATGCACATAACTGTATATCTGTATATCTACATATATGTAGCTGTACGATTCCTTTCGAGTGACATGCAGAGAACAGTTATTTCGACTATTTGCTTAATATCTTGTGGAAAAAATAGGCTTCCCATAGAGATAATAGTACTACACAGGTTTTTTTCAGTCTTCAACTACCTCTAACAAAATTCTTATATTAAATTTTAGTTTAATTTCTGAATTTCACTTCTGAAATTAAATTTTCAGACTAACTTTAGATACTGTTCATAATGCAATATAAGCATTCTAGTACTGAAATAGATTTCTGTTTTCCAGACCTGCAGCAAAAACAGAGAGTGAAAAGAACAAGGTACTGTAAAATTAGTTTCTTCACAAGTAGTTTGTATCAGCTTTCAATCACTTACATGGGAATAGTGTTTATGTAGTGATCAACCGATGCACAAATTGCTGCTAGTATGCAACTTTATCATATTTGTGCCAAATCCATGGGCTGTGGATGAGAGAATGAATCATTCATGCATCTGTAATACTATATAGTTGTATACAGAAAATACTGTATTATTTGTAGGTCAGCATACAAATGGATGTAACTGATGACCTTGATTTAACTCACTCATCTGACACAACTTCAGAGGATGTCGAATTACCAACTGCAACCTACAAAGAGGCTATGTTGCTGTTAGAACAGCTTAGTGTGGATCATACGGGTATGTTTGCAAGTCACTTTGTCTTCAGCTGTTACAAGTTCCTCTTTTAAAACATGACTTCTTTATATACACTCCTAGCTATTTTAGTTTTATAATTTGATCTAATATTTGTTTATGATTAGAGGTTCCCCCTTCAAAAGATGTGAAATTCTCACCCGGCCTTAGATGTCTGCTTGTATTGTCAGCAAATATGCCTTACTTTATCATCGGTTCTCTGTCTAGTCAGAGCTAGAGAAGCAGGTTCTTTCCCAGTGCAGTTCAGCTCCTTCTAATGCAGTCATCAAAAGTTAGCAAGATCTTATTTTTCCTCTTTATATACCCCCCATAGCTAATGACAAATAGTGCAGCAAAGTAACAGCTTTGCTTAAATATATATATATATAAAATCAAATGTCATAAGATGCTTGCATATATACACATAGCATTATATAAACATAAGCATGGCTTACTACATCTATTAAACCATGCTAAAATTTTGTTAGGCAAGGGTTAACCTTGACTAAAGGCCAAACTCCCACCCAGCTGCTCTCTCACTGCCCCTCCTCAACAGGAAAAAATAGGATTAAAAAGCTTGTGGATAAATACAGAGGCAGGACTATCGCTTACCAGTTACTGTCACAGGTAAACCAGACACCAACTTCGGGGAAACTTAACTTAGTTTGTTACCAATTAAAATAGATTTGGATAGTAAGAAACAAAGACCAAAAAAAAATTGAAAGACCATCTCCCCACCCGCCCCCTTCTCTAGCTCAACTTCACTCCCTCAATCCCAACTCCTCTACCCCTCCCCAGGCAGCGCAGGGAGGCTAGGGTCTGCAGTCAGGACATAGCAGTTTCTCTCTGATGCTTCTGCTTCCTCACACTTTCCCCCTGCTCCCGGGTGAGTCCCTCCAGGGGCTTCAGTCCTTCAGGGAAAATCTGCTCCAGCCCGGGCTCTGCATGTGTCGCAGGTCATTCAGGAAATATCCACCTGCTCTGGCATGGGGTCCTCCACAGCACTGCATTGTGGATATCTGCTCCAGCACAATCCTCTCCAGGGGCTGCAGGGAAATACCTGTTACATGATGGTGTCTCCGTGGGCTGCAGGGGAATCTCTGCTCCAGCACCTGGAGCACCTCCTCCCCCTCCTTCTTCACTGATCGGGGCATTCACAGGGCTGGTTTTCACGTTCTTTTCCCCTTCTCCTCTGTCTGTGTAGCATTTTTGCCCTTTCCTAAATGAATTTTTGCTGAGGTGGCACCAGCGTGGCTGAGAGGCTCAGCTGTGCCCTGCAGCGGGTCTGTTGGAACTGGCTGTGTCCAGCATGGGGCAACCCCTGGCCTCCCCAACTCCTGCAGTCTTCCCACTATGAAAACCGTGCCACCTGCACCCGGTACAGCAAAGCATTAAATAATTCATACATTGGAAAGTATTTGTGCATATGTGCAGCTTTGTGTCTTTTCTATCTCAAAATAGGTTCTGCTATTTTGTTGAAAATTCAAAACATACTTCTTGAATATGAACAGATAATAGAACGTGAAAAAAATCGGTATACAGCTGTCTGGAGAGAAGTAAAGAAATTGGAAAGTGAAAAGGAGGAGTCACAGTTAGTAGCAGAAGAGACACAAGATTTGAAGTCCATATTGGCTCACCAAGAAGTGGAATGGAAAAGTGATATCCAAAGCCTTAAGTATGTAACCTTGCATTCTGATAATGTGTTATCCTGTCAGTGTTCATGTTCCAGAAGATGCTGGTCTTACAGGTGATAGGATATAGGATGAGAAGTTTCTAGCCTTTTAGGTTTGGGTTTTTTTGACTCTCATGGGCAAGTTATGTTATAAAGGACATAGGGGGGGGGGGGGGGGGGAGATGCCTGGATATTAGCTCCCTGTAAAATCTTCTAGATGTTGTTTTAACTTTTTTTTGATAGCAAGAGAAGACAGCAAGAGAGTATGTATGGGGAGATTTATAAGAGAGATTTATAGGAGATAGATATTTTTTAAATTTTGTCTTTGCAGCTTCTGTTCGTGTGTAATATCAGGAATTCTTGTAACTCCACAGAATGCAACTCGGAACAGAGCTTAGAGCATTTGTTTGTTTTCTTGTTTGTTTATTTGAAAGGTCAAATTTGGGATTGCCCATTACCCCTTACCGCTGAGCTAGACCTGGATGGAGTGAGGTTTTTAATCACTGTTCACATCACTTTAGACAGGAGTGGCCAGCAGGCACTGTATGAAATTCAGCAAGGACAAATGCAAAGCCCTGCACTTGGGAAGGAAGATCCCCTTGCGATGATGTACTGTGGGATGGCCAGGCTGGGGAGCTTGCTGAAAAGGCCCTGGTTGGTCTTGGCAGAGAGCAAGCTCAACAATGAGCCACCATGAGCTGGCAGCTGAGAAGGCCAACAGCATTCTGGGCTGTATTAAGAGCAGCAAAGCCAGGAGATTGAGGGCAGTGATTGTCTGTCCCTACTCAGCACTTACTGAACTGTGTCTGGAATACTGGGTCCAATTTTTGCCCTCCCAGTACAAGAGTGATCTTAATCAATATGCACAAGTTCAGCTTCCAAGAGCTACCAGTTCAGCTCAGAGAGCTACCAAGCTGGTCAGGGAGCAGGAGCACCAGCCCTGTGAGGAGTGGCTGAGGGAACTGGGCTTCCTGTTGTGCCTCCCAGTATGCAGAAGAGGATTATGAGGAAGGCAAAGCCAGTCCTAACTTGGCCTGGATTTGACTCCAACTGTTTTTCAAAATTCTCAATTATCTAGCGATTACAAAGAATTAATATTTTTGTTCTACATAAATTCTCAAAGCAGTGTTAACTTTACACTTATAAAAGCTTTTTTGTGAAATTACACTAAAAATTATATGTAAAGCTTTTTCCTTGCAATATAAACCACTCAAATATAAATGTTACTGTTAATCTTTCAAATAACTTATTAGTGATTGCTGATACTTGTTTTGCAGAATTTCTGAAGCACTTAATCTTTATTAGTGGTTGCTGATACTTGTTTTGCAGAATTTCTGAAGCAGATTTTCAGTTGGCAGCTCTTTCCTTATGTTGATACTTTTTTTTTTTTTCTTTTTGACCATTGCAAAAAAAAAATTCAAAATAATTATCAAACATAAAACTGCTTTCTTGTTTGTGTACTGTGGACACTTTTTTTTTTACCACGTTGGTGCTTATTGCTGATTGTTTCATATAGTAAAGAAGTTGACATTCCCTAAGCCTTTCATTAAAATTAGCTTCAAAATTAATTTGTTATTGTTTCTCCCAGATGTAGATCTATTGAGATTTAAAACTATTTTTAATCGTATCAAGCCTAAACCCTATGCATTGCTAAAACTATTTTTGAACACTGACCTCATTCTTCAGTAAATAGAAACTGTTTGCTCTTTCTGTGGTCAGCAGTTGTTTTAGACTTAAAAAGTCTTGCTAAAAAATTGTTGGGTCTGTCATAGATAAGTGGTATGCTGCTTCATCAGTATTACTTATGATCACCGGAACCGTAATATGTAGGCAATGCTCAGCATATTAAGAAAATATATATTAATCATAGTTTATGATGCTTTAATCTGATAAGACAACAAACTCCTTTTAAACAAAATGTCTGCAATATGATTTTTTTAAAGAATTACAGAAAAGTGCATACTACTGTATATTTACCTATGTAAACTGACTTACAAATATATGATAAATCACGCAATGGTTTATTTCAGTATCTTGTACTACTGATACAATGGATAATAGAATGAAGTTAGAATTCTTTAAATAGTTAAAAATGACAGTAAAAATATGAAATCTGGAAAGATTTAACATTTTTATGGTTTAAGTTGTCTCTGCAAGTTCAGAATGTGGAATACCTACTTTTTATATCAGTACTTTATTTTCTCAAATATTCTGTTAAATCCCAGATTTACTTTGAAACAAGAGGAGGAAAAGAGGCTCAGAGTAGAAATGCTATATGAGAAAACAAGAGAAAAACTCAGAGGGAAAGAAGATCAGTATTGTAAAGAGATGGAGGAGAAACAGCAACTTGAGTTACACTCAAGGAATTTAGAAATGGAGTTAATAACATTGAGAAAGCTCTTGAAACAGGTATATTAAATAATGAGTTAAACACTTGTCTTCTTGTTTTTTGCTTTTTTTTAATTGACATTGTATTCCAGTATGCCTAAAGGAGGAGTTAGTTTGTTCATGGCAGAGGCATTGGATAACTATTGACAAATTCTGAGGGCAGATTTTTTGTTGTAGTTTGTGGTGTGGTTTTTTTTCCTTTGCTAGTTCATTATTCCTTTTCTTGAGGGCAGGTTTTTTGTTGTAGTTTGTGGTTTGTTTTTTTTTTTTCCTTTGCTAGTTCATTATTCCTTTTCGCCTTTTACAAAATTTAGGTTTCATTTGTATTTCAGGCAAAGCCTGACTTTTTTTCTGAATTACTACAAAACATTCTATATTTATTCTTAATTTTTCAGAAGAAAATTTAATTTTATTATTTATAGATGGATTATCATAATTGCGGAGAAGCAAAATATTTGAAAGAATACGAAAGAGAACGGAAAGATATTTCTAGCTTTGATTTTTCTCAAGATGCAAGTAGTTTAATTGTATTACTGTAGGTTGAAGAAGAGCGCGATGAAACACAGAGACAGCTCTCTCAGGAAAAGAGTGCCAGAGCCCTGCAAGAAGGAATTTTGAACAACCACCTTTGGAGACAGAAGGAGCTAGAAGAAGAGACAAGAAGTAGTATAGGAAAAAATTCAGAGGTAAGCAGATTTTTTTTCTAATAAATTAAATTTCACCATGTTCATTCTAAAGTCGTAAATAAATCCTATATAATAGTTTCTGCTTCTTGATGGATTATTTACAGTTTACCAATATAACTTAACTGTGTATTCTGTTTTCCCTTATGTCTTTAAAAGTTCTGGAAAGCAGCATCAGTCCTCTAAGTAACTGAATTGCATGTGCAAGTAGGAACTAACAGAAGACGCTATTTACCCAATTTCTTAAGCTCTTCGGTATTTTTCATTTCATAGATGTTTTATCATCACTTTTTAAGTTTTCTAGCAGTGAAACACCTAACTACCTGTGTCAAGGTTGACCAGGAAGGAAGTTGTTTGACGCTCATTCTTTATATTCCCATTACTTGGGGTTTTTTTAATTACTTATTCCCTTATCAAACTTACTTACTTCAAGTATGCCGTTCTTTTCCACCTCCACATACTAAATTTTTATGAAGGAATATCAGTAATGAATTAAACTGACTCAGGATAATTGGAGGAGAAAAAGCAATCATAAACAGTGTATAAAGAAAAAAATCTTGAAAAGAGTTTGCTGAATTTACTAAGAATGTGCTGCATGTGGAAGAATTATTTGTTCTTGGCCGTGCTGCCCAATAAATGTAGGGTGAATATGTTTATGTGGAAAAGAGTTATATATTTAACAAACAGAGAATAACAAGACTATTGCATTCCATTGTTGAGTTGTATAGCTAACTTTTTTATTACTAAAACAGAAGTATTAAGAAGATACTTGACAACTGATAAAAGAAGAAAAATAGCGTTTATATTTGTTGCAACTTTGCTAAAGGTTCCAGAAGGAAAATACTCTTTTTAGCCTTGTTTTTACCAGGTTTGTAACACAGCTATATTAACCTTAAAGACAATGTTTTAAAGGCATGCGCACACAGGAAAGCACTGTCATTTAAAAAGCTTTATACCTGAGATATTTTAAATAATTTTATTATTTGGCTGCTGGTTAAGGAAAAAAAAAAGGCATTGTATATTTGGGATGTTCACTTAGGTTTTCAGGGTATGACACACTTCCAGTGTGTGCATACATTGTACGTGTGCATGGGTTCATAGAGTGGTTTATGTATTACCTGAAATTTCACCCTTGTCTTTGAAGTCATGCTTCAGTATTAGAAATGTTAAAACTCAGTTTGATGCTGAAGTGGTTTTGAAGATTCATTTCCCAACTGGCTATTTATTCATGTTCCCTGTCATTCAGGAATCCGACACCGAGAGAGAAAAGGATCTGTTGTTCAAAAATCAGTTACTACAAGATGAGATTGCTGTGCTAAGAGTAGAACTTGATCAAGTAAGACTTAGGCACCAGGAGGAAGAAGGAAAATATTTAGAGGAAAATGAGACCTTGAAAGAAAAAAATGAAGATCTCAAAAAGGAACTTAAACTGAATGAGGAAGCCTTAACACAAACAGTTATTCAGTACAATGGACAGCTGAACTTATTGAAGACAGAATCTGCAGTGCTAACTTCCAAACTTGAGCAGACAAAAGAAAGCAAAGACAGACTAGAGACAGAAATTGAATCATTTCGTTCCCGCCTGAACACTACTGTTCAAGAACTTGAACGCCATCAGTCATCAAAAAGTGATGTCGAACGAACGTTTCAGAGAGAACGTGATGAATGGCTTCGCTTGCAAGACAAGCTGCATCATGACCTCTCTGATGTGCGAGAAACCAACAAGAGCTTGTCTCAGCAGCTGAGTAAAGCTGAAAGCAAAGCTAATAGTCTAGAAAACGAGCTTCACCAGTTGAAACAAATGCTCAGAGAAAAAACACTGCTTTTAGAAATGACACAAAAAGAATTAAGTCAAGCCCAGTGCCAGGCAAAGGAATGTGATCATGCTCGACAACTTGAGAAGGATCAAGTAAGCAAATTTATAATAAAGCAGGAATCCCTGCAGGAGCGATTGGCCCAGCTCCAGAGTGAAAACCTTCTACTCCGTCAGCAACTGGAAGATATGCAGAACAAGGGGATCATCAAAGAAAAAGTAGTGAATGATGTGCAGGACCGGTTTAATGATATTTTCAACAAACTCAGAGCTGATACTGAAAAGCAAGTTTACCTAGTGGAAGAGAGAAACAAGGAATTAAATGCCAAGTGTACTGATTTAAGAGAACAAGTCTTTAAATATGAGACTGACAAAGTAGAAAGAGAGGTAAAGTATACGCTTAGAAAGAACAATTTAAAGTTTTGTCAGTTCTTGAAATTATTTTATGTTTCTAAAATGTACCAGGTATAACTTATACGCATGGGACCAAATAATGCTGTTTTGTTCTGATTTGTTGTGTTTCTCTTGGAATTGTGGAAAGTTTTGGTAAACAGGATGGTGCTGCTCAGATCTGAGCAGAGAACAGAAAAAAGGTATCCAAGTCTAAGCTTTGATCGAGAAAGGTGATTCTTCTCTAGAACTTTTTTCATCTCTTTTCCTTTGTCCATTTTATGCCCTATAGAATGGTTTTATGTATTTGATGGGTTTTATATATGTATTGCACTGATGACACAAATGAGTGGTATAAAAGGAAGAACCATCCAATATGCGTGGACTGAGAAATGAAGATGCAGACAAGTGAAAGTGGTGGGGGATGAATTAATATTAATCTCCTAAAGAGAAAAAAGAAAATCTCTTCTCCGTAAGTTGCTAACAAAATTGAAGAGTATTAGTAGTGTCCAAGTGTTAATTTATATATGTGTGTTGGGACTTCTAAGGGGCCTGCCTGTTCCTCAAGAAGTTCATTTCAGACACCCACCTAAACTTTCTCTCCTCTGTTTTATGATGTGTAGCCATATTTAAATGTGTTCTTTCTTTGTGGCTCTGTGAAAGACTAATTAACTGGACAGAAGACTAATTAGGAAATTAGTTAAACTGCCTTTCTGCAAATTGACACAGTACATAAGTGAGTGTGAAACATACTCTTATGCAGAGCACTAGCGTAATTTTGTGTCACTCAAAGATGCATGAACCAAGTGTTGCTGCCATTTCTGCATGTAGATGGTTGTTTGTCAAGAAAAAGGGTGGAAGAAAAAGGCAGGGTAAAGCGTGAGGAAAAGGTAGGCAGTTGAAAAAGCTATAGGTAGCGGGAGAATACATTATTATATGTGTTCCTAGGAGTAGGTAGTCTTCCCTATTGATAGAGTATTCTATCAGTTCCAGGTAGGACAATGATTTGAAAGTTGCCTTACCCATTTTGTTTAATATTTCTTTACTTTCTGGAAAATAGGAACTAATCACGTTCAGTATTTGGACACTCTGGTGTAAGGTTTGTCTCCCTTAATGATCTAAATAGTGATTTAAAGTTGCATTTCCTTCTTCATAACAAATCCAGAATCTTTGAGTGAGGTAAATGTCTGCATGTGTCAGATAACCACCTTGTGTTATTTGTCAGCTCCTTTAAGGCCAGGGCGAAAAACTCCAGCAGTGCTGTCAGTCACTTTAATCTGTGAATTGCTCTGTATTCTTACAACCAAAATAACAAGTTTCTTTTGAAGATACTAGATGTGTGTGTATATATATGAACTATCCAGACTTTTGTAAATCTAATTTGTCAGTATAAAGGCAGTTGTTATTCTAAAACTAACTTGGTAAGAAGACTTCAAGAGGATGTGATTCAATTTATGCTTAAAAAAACAGAGCTTTCAGATACATGTATTCATTTAATTATATAATGGAGGAATAGAAGAAAGAATGATCTAATACAAAGTCCTGCCTTTGGTCATCAGAGTAACATCTGCAGTCAAACTATAGGTCTTACATTCTAACAGATTTCTTTGGGTTTTGTTGGGAAAAAATACATGATTGCAGTGTGTGCTTGGGTATTGTTCCGAGAAGAAGAAGAATACTTGAGCCTTTTTTATGTATAAGGAACTGGAAATCCTCACGAACAGCTGCTGATAGTTTGGAGGTGCTCAGCTGAGAAACACAGCTGTGCAGATGCCCACTGGTGACAGGCAAAGTTTTATACCTTTGAGTTCAATCCGAAGACAGGTCTAATTGTATAACCAGGTAAGTTAAAGTAAAGGTATATTTCATGTTCTTAAAATTTTCTTCATGCTCATTTAACTGTTTCATTAGGGCATGGTCAGACAGCTGCAGCAGGAGCTTGCTGATGCTCTTAAAAAGCAATCTATGTCAGAAGCGTCACTTGAAGTTACTACACGCTACCGCAGTGATCTGGAGGAAGACAAATTGCGCTTGCAAAAGGACTTGGAAAAGTTTAAAACCAAGGTACTTAATGTCTCTAACTATATGAACAAATCTAGGGGTGGCTGTTGAAAGTAAGAGTGAATATTGTCCTAAAATCTAGAAAAAAGTTCAACAGGGTAGATTTAATGATGTGTGAATGGATTGCACTTTTTTTATAAACTAGGTGTCCATGATTGGAAGGTCTTTCACATCAGGACACTATGTTCTTACTTAGACAAAGGTTTGTATTTGCTAAGGTGCTTTAAAATAAACTGATGTGTCTGTAGCTTATTGCATTTGGCTTGGCCAAGCAGGTTGTCTGATTTCTGAAGAACAGCATTCAGGCTTTTCTATGCTGTCTGTGCTTCCCCCCCTCCCCTGGCACCAGGTAGCATGTTGTCAGTTCTGAATGCTTTTGTAACTTCTTTGGCCCTGCTGTAGTTAGACAGCCTTAAGCAGCTTTCTTGCAAGTGAATTGTAAGCTACTTTCTGAGGAAGTGACCACCTTTTGCAGTGTTCTTATGAAAGCTGAAGTATAGAGGCCTCCGAGTTCTGAAATAGAAATCATCTTCAATCCCCTTGTGAGGGAGTGGTGAAGTCCCTTTAGGTGAAGGATGAACTTTTTCACTCGTATTTTCAATGGAGGAGCAAACAAGTGGCTGGGAAGAGTGTCATGAGTTGCTGAAAGGGTGGGAAGGGTCAGTGTCAGTGCTTAGAACCGTGCTATAGGGAATCCACATAGGGATGGGAGATGCCAGCATGAAAGATGATGAAGTAACACAGTTTGTGTTCATTTGCGAGTAGAAGTGGAGGTTTGAACGTACTTGAAATGATTGCAGTTCTCTGACTAGAGGGTATGTGCAGGTCTATGCAGTACTTGAATTCTTCAGCAGCAGTTCTCTCCTCTTGTGTAAAAGCTCACCTGACCACCGTGGGTTCTTACTGTGATTTTACAGCTGCGGGACTTGGAAGAACAGCATCTTCAGTCTGAGCACTGTGTTCACGACTTGAAGGCTGCCTTGGACAACAAGGAAAGAGAAGTAATAGCTTCTTCCCAGAAACTGCAGGACCTCCTGGTGGCGTCTTCTGGGACTAACTCTACTGTAAAACAACTGGAAGAACACGTGCAACGGTAGGAGAAGAGCACAGTGAAGCAAGGTGCCTGTCGCTTTCTGGGGTGGTGTGGCAACAACCGGATAGCCTTGTTGCATCCCAGGAAGTGAATAGACGCCTTTGAAGGATGCTTTTAGTTTAGAGTTGTGTTAATTCATGCTGTTCTTTCCCCAGCGGTGCGCTGGTAGCTTTCCATAAGACGACCTGTGTTTCTTTTTAAGCCTTGAAATTCAAAATGCCAGACTGGAAGCCACAGTCCAGCAGCAAAGCAGTAGGATTGAAGCCCTTCAGAGAGACCTGCAAGCCTCTGCCTCACTGCCTTCGTAGGCTGGGCATAGACTTCCCTTTTTGTGAGCTCCTGAGCCTAGTTACCTGTTCCTGTGGGGAAATTTTAAGATGAGGTTTCCCTGGAGAGCCATGGAGAACTCAGTTCCTGCATTCTCCTGAATAAAGGCTGCTTGGAAAGCAGCCTGGTCCTTTCCCCAGCTTTCTGGTTTTGAGAGTTTTCCATGGTACTACAGCAAGTCCTACTTAATGCTCTAGAAGGTAAAGATTTGCCACAAATACACTGGTGTAACTATTGTTACAATGTGTATCATTAAAGGTATTCCTCAGGTGAACTTGTGGAAATTCCACAGGGGATACGAATGCCAAGTGCTTGGTGCCAGAGGCCCGCCTGGCACAAAACCTATACTCCCCAGAGCTTTTGCTAGGCAGAAGTGCTTTTCCGTTGGCCATTTGGTTTGTGTTTGTTTTTATGGACCAGTGAAGAGGAATGCCTGCGGTATCACTGGCAGAACTCCGTGTGAGCCTTGGGATTTCCCAGTGCCCCTGCACAGGGTTAACTTTAACTCACAGAAGGTGCTTTCCTCTGTGGTCTTTATGAAGCAAATTACTTTTGTATTGTAACCAGTGAGCTAGGGTTCTTGTTTCAACTGACTGTCTTGCTAATTAGAGCTGGCTGAAGAGATCCTGAAGATACCTACCTGTGAAAGTTGGCCTTTGTGATGTCCTGATAGTGGCAAGGGAAGAGGGGAGGCAGCCACCATGCTGGTCCTTCCCCCTGGGTTAATAGGGCACGGTTTTCAAAGGTACTGTGGATGAGAAAAGCTACTGCTGTCTGTTTTCATCAAAGACTTTTTGTATCCCGCCTGGTGTTCTCTGTCCCTCAAGTCAACGGCAGAGACAGTGACTGCTAACAGATTTACCGTGGCATCAAACTCCAGCCCTTGTGATAATTGGTGCTGGGTGTAAATATGACAGGCGTGAAGAGGTCTATGTCATATTTAGTGTTGGTAATAAGGTGTAAACTCCAGTCTGGAAAGTCCTAG